AAAAAATATTCTTAACAACTCAAATCTTCAACACTAAATTTTGACTCTTAACTAAATTTCCTGACTCTGTTCCTGTTTGATGGCCATTGTATTTTATTGTGTATGGTTGTATTATGACTTTAGAGGCCATTGCATTTATTGTGGCGGTGGGTTTTGGCTTAAGCCATTCGCCCAATCATCAAGAACAATCCAAGCAGAGTGGGCGCGAGAAAAATACAAGAGAGGTAAGAGCGCTTTAGGTGAGGGTGAATAAGAGTAAAGTGGTTAAAATTCTTTATTGAGTGATTTTGAGTGTCTCATATTTAAAAATATTGTAAGTGAGATTTTGATGTATTTAATTGAGTATTTATAAAAGTATTATAAATTATATATTTTTATTTAATAATAAATTTTTCATTGTGAGTGTCAATGAACATAAACTCAGTTAATTAAAATTAGACTATGTAAATTCAGTATTTTTCTTTTGGTGATGCATTTTATCATTTCATTAATTTTTTAATGTTGCAGTGAGTTGACCAAAATCTCAAGTTATTTGCTTCAACTCGCTTAGACTTGTTTACCAGGTCTAGGTTGCCAACTATTTGATAGCGTGTAGCCTGGATTGCTTGACCATTTTGCCAGGTCCAGCACGAGGGACGAAGCCAATGAAGGACAAGGAGGGCAGCCACCCCCCCTAAACTTCTAAAAAATATTTAATATGGTACTCTAATATTTATTTGTTAAAACTTTTCACTTTTATAATATGAATTTCAAGAACCATCTCAAATGTAGAGAAAATATATAGGACTTGTAATTGCACCAAACTAGAAGTCTTTCTTCAGTTCGCGTCTGTACTCCGGGATGACCTGCAAAGCCCCGAGGTGAAACTCGGGGTAGACACTCCGATGCTTAACTCAGCAATAATCGGGGCTACTTTTAGAGCGAAGATAAAAAGAGCTTAGGGTTGGTTTCAATTACCTTTTGACGTGGCCCTTGGGGGGTATTTATAGGTCTCAATGAGGAACCCACGTGGCATGCCAAGCAAGATATTCGGGATCTGATGTGTATCTCCAGATGGTTATTTTGGGATCGGGATTTTGAGAGGTATTCAGATGCAAGGATGTCCACCTTAACTGCTGTGCAGCTCATCGTAAGGGATCAGGTGCGGGCATGCTCATTGTCACTGTCATGCAGCTATTTGAGCGGGAAGCTTTGGATTTGTCCTTCACTTCGGTCATAAAGGAATTACTGTAGCAGTCCGAGGCTTAGCACCTCGGACCTGTCCTTACACTATGAAAGGAGAGAGACACTTCGATTAACTCAAACTCAGAGGTTCGTATACATTACCTGATTTCGGTTTCGAAAGCTTGCTGTAGAAATCCCCAAATGTTGCGGCAGTTCACGCGCAAGAAATACACAGTAATGCTTTTCGCAGAAGTTTTGCAAAAAAAGAAATACAAGTAAACTTATTTCTGCAGAAAAAATGCCTATTTATACTTATGGGCAAAATTAGATCTCAACAGCTGAGATTCATTTAATCTTACCGTTCCTATTCACACCGTTTGGAATTCGACGGCCAACCCCAAACGGTACCGTTTTGAACTCGACGGTTCGTTTTTTAAAACTTGCCCGTTTATCTTTTTACGGCCGCATTTATTGCGCACGTCATTCCAAGGACAACTGTCACACCACGCACTACCCCTTTGTCAGACTTCCCAAATGGGCCCACTTAAACTCATTTCAACACTCTCGCTTACTTATACAGATTCTCAATTTTTGCAAGTGTTTCACTTCGGCTCCGGCCATAGCGATCCTGCATTACATGTTTCACATCAACCCCGATCATTATATTTTATTATGGCTCCGGCTATTACGACCTCGGTCATTATATTTTATTATGGCTCCGGCCATTATGACCCCCATCTTTACACCTAAGCCTAACTCAACACTTCTGTTTATTTTTATATTACACTTTTTAACTTGCAAAGTGTTTCGCTTCGGTTATGGCCACAGTGACTTAGTGCGACATGTTTCACTCTGGTTCCGGCCATAGAGACACGTGCTTTACTTCGGCTCTGGTTACTGTGACTACATGTCACATATTCTACCACGGCTCCGGTCATCATTTTTTATCATAGCTCCGGCCACCATGACTTCGGTGATCATCTCTTACTATGGCTACGGCCACATTGACTCCGGTCATTACTTTTACCATGGCTACGGCCACGATTACTCTGGTCACACTCTCTTCTTATCGCACACGGCTATGTATGCATTTGAGTTACAAATTTTATTTCTTTATTTTACTTCTATGATTTATCCGTAATTCTCTTTGTTTATGTACTCCCCTCATTATTCCCCAACAACATCATTCACAAGTGAATGACTTCGGAGGGGGAATAGTGTAAGGACAGGTCTGAGGTGCCAAGCCTCGGACTGCTACAGTAATTCCTTTATAACCGAAGTGAAGGACAAATCAAAAGTTTCCCGCTCAAATAGCTGCATGACAGTGACAATGAGCATGCCTGCACTTGATCCCTTACGATGAGCTGCACAGCAGTTAAGGTGGACATCCTTGCATCTGAATACCTCTTAAAATCCCGGTCCCGAAATAACCGTCTGGAGATACACGTCAGATCCCGAATATCTTGCTTGGCATGCCACGTGGGTTCCTCATTGAGACCTATAAATACTCCCAAGGGCCACGTCAAAAGGTAATTGAAACCAACCCTAAGCTCTTTTTATCTCCGCTCTAAAGGTAGCCCCGATTATTGCTGACTTAAGTATCGGAGTGTCTACCTCGAGTTTCACCTCGGGGCTTTGCAGGTCATCCCAGAGTACAAACGCGGACTGAAGAAGGACTTCTGGTTTGGTGCAATTACAGGACCTAAATAAAAACTTTTCAAAAAGTAAGGATATGATCTAAATAAAATGAACTTATGTCAATTTAATTAATGAGGAATTGAGATTTTTAAACATTTTCTCATTTATTAAGGAAAAAAAGATAAACTGCATTAATAATCACTCACCTTTATCATAACTTTCAATTTAGTCACTATCCTTCTAAACATATAAATTTAGTCATTGACCTTTTGTTTAATATGCTATCGTTCATCACCTCTATTATCTCTTACAAATTCCGTTATATGATAACATAGATGATAATGTGGTATGATGGCATGACATTTAATGAAACAAAATTATAGTTTAGCTCAAAAAAAATGAAAGTCAATTGGTGAAATATATATATATATATATTTGTAGTATTAATTTAGTCATTGTCCTTCTAAATTTGAAAAACTAGTCACTAACCTTTCTTTTAACATGCTGCCCCGTTCTTCACCCCCCTTTATCTTTTACAAATTCTATTTAGTGATGACATAGGTGATGATGTGGTGTGATGAAGTGACCATTAGTTAAACAATATTACAATCGCGGTACAAAAAATCAACAATAGCAAAAAAATTTCAATTAAAAATACTGTATGATCCCCACAACCTTAAAAATTAACAAATAAATCAATTTTTAACTACTGTATGACAAAATAGTAACATACTAATACAAAAGCTTTTCTTTAATTTTCTATAAATTTTAATGGTTAATTGTGTAAATTACCTCTCAAAATTATTGTGTTGAAGTAAATCATCATAAAAAAAAATGTTAATATAATTTATCACATAAAATTTTTATTTTCAAAAAATCAATTCACATTTTACTGTTGTCATTAAATTTTGTTAAACTATTTTTTTTAAATCTAATGAAAAGTTAACAATAATCATTAAATTTAAGTCGATTTTTTAAATTTGAAGTGGTAAATTGTGTCAACATTTTTGTTTTTTTTTTTTGACAATTTGTTTTGGCACAACAATTTTAGGAAGAATCTACACCTTTTACCTATTTTAATTATTTATTTTTTAAAAAAATATTTAGAAGGTATAAGGGTACCTTCATTTATTAAAAAATATTAAAATCAATCTAATTGATAAATTTAATAGTAAATTTATTTATTTATCTATTTTCTATATTTAATTTTAACCACTTCTTTCTCTTTCTTTTCATAATTAATCTTTTAAGTAGTTGGATTCTTAACTCCATGTGATCATCACATTCTCAAAAATTAAAATATTTTAATTAATGCTACAAATATATTATTTTTTTTCTTGTCATCTATTGACCTTTTTTTTAGCTAAACTGTAATTTTGTTTCATTAAATGCCATGCCATCATGCCAGATTATTATCTATGTCGTCACTTAATGGAATTTGTAAGAGATAACAGAGGTGATGAACGGCAGCATATTAAAAAGAAAGGTCAATGACCAAATTTACATGTTTAGAATGATAGTGATTGAATTGAAGTTATGATCAAGACGAGTGACAATTAGTGTGGTTTACCCAAAAAAAACCTTTAATTTTCTATTTAAACAACTTTAAATTCATAGTTTTATTTAGCATTGTAGACACAGAAAATTATTGGCCAATTGAAAAATCCCGTGTGTTAATTTAGGTCTTGAAAAATAATATTATTCTTCACCTATTAAAATTATTTTAATGGTATCCATGGATTAATCACAACATGACGTGTGTCCCAATCGTAATTCAAGATACATAAAGGAAAAGTCCTGTTCTTCGAGAAAGAATATAAAAATATATATACATATTCATTAAATTAAAGTATTTATGGTGCCAATCAATAGGATTAAAATATTCTTATTACTTGTTAAATAAAAAAAAATTTCCTATCCTAAGTTACCAAGGAAATAGTTGGTAGAGAAGTTTTATCCTCAAAGAACTCCTCAATGTTCCTACCAATAGAATTAAAGTATTCCTATTACTTGTTAAATAAGAATAAAATTCTTATCCTAAATTGCTAAGTAAATACTTAATAAAGAAGTTCTAAGTCTAAAATAACTCCTCAAAACTATACCTATAAATAGGGTATCTCTCTAAACTTTTCAACACACACTTTAGAAGCAGAAAATCCTAAAATAAATTTTAAGGATTAAACTTTTTGAAGATCTCTCATTAATGAGGAATAATTTAAAGACCCTGTTAAGAGAGATTCGCCAACCTTGTTACGAGGGATTCAAAAAACCCTACTATGAGGGATTTGAATACCCTGTTACAAGGGATTTGAACCAAATAAAAAAATGCACTACAAGCAAATTTATCTTAGTGACAAAAGTTTTTCGTCAATATATACCCTTTTTCCGTTAGCATAGACCCTCAGGGACTATTCCGACGGAAGAGCTTTTTGTCGGTGCAAACACTATCACTATAGGGTATATACCGATGACTAATCTGTGGGTATAGACCCTGTATACCCTGGGATCTATTCTAATGGAAGATTTGTCCGTTGGTATAGACCTTGACCTTTACAGATGAATAATTCTGTTGGTATAGACCCTAAAAATTTTAAAAAATGTTACCGTGGGTATAGACCTTTACCCTTACAAATGGATAATTCCGTTGGTATAGATCCTTTTTTTTTTCTTTTTACAATTGGTAATTCACTTTTATTTTATAATTTTCTCCTACACTTATTCTTTTGCTGTATTGATAAAAACTTAACACATTTTATTCATATATTGAGAACAAATGGTACTCTAACCCATTTTACAATACACAAAAATCTCTATAAAATAAATTTCCCATCAAACAATAACATTCATTCACTGCCCTTTTTATCCACTACAATATAATATGGAAATTCAAATAGGAGAATCCAACTGTAAACACACAAAATAGTAACTATGTTAAACATACTTGGCACTTATCACCGTTCTTTAGCTCCTTCTCCAACTTTTCCATTGATACTGAAAGCCTCCCAAGTTCCCCAAGCTGATTTAAGAAGAATATTCATATAAAGATCTAAAGCTTGTGAAGAATTTAATGGCACAACAATTATAGCAGGAGAGAACTTTATATAACTAATAATGATCAACAAACCTCAATCAAGCTGCTGCAAATTGAAGAACCCATCCAACAGAAAAGGGATATCCACCCAAGCAGCTCAGCACGTTCCTTGTTCTACAAAAAATAATAGTTTATTTTTTTTTCCAATTAACATTTCTTACAGAATCCAACCACAAGTTATATAAAATCAAATATTGATAAAGTAAACTTCATACCTTATAGATACTTGTTCTGCCGAGTCAAACAATTTGATTGAGAAATAAGAAAGTCGATAATAGTGCATTCTTTGACTGAAAGAAGAATTAATGAATTCATCACAAAAATAGAGTCAATTAAAAATCCAAAGGAGAACTATAGGAAAACGTTTCTCTATAGTACAATCGTACCTTCCCCAGCAGAACAAGTGGGAGGGGAGTTCCTTGAGGAACTGGGCTAATAAGAGCATGCAAATCCTTGACAAGAAGACCACATATGAATGAATACAGAACATTTCATAATTTCATACAGTAGATAAGTATAAAAATAAATTGAGTCATGTAGGTTTAAAGAATTTCAGGTAGCCCAACTCCTAATATCATGCCAATAATCACCTTGGAATGTTCAAATGTGCCAGTATTTCTCAATCAGAAAGCATGCAACAACAAGGGCAGATGTCTAATTCTATTATATATCTTTATAATTCTATTATAACCCAACAACAGCTGTATCTTTTCCAAGAAAGGAGGTAGTCTTAACAATGTTTTGCTCTGATCAACACTTGATGATAATATTCAAAAAGATAGAATAATAAATGGAGTTTTTCAGTTAAGACTAAAGAACTTCTGAAGCAAAATCAAGAAATTTTAATTTTGCATTTAACTTACTTCTATGCTCAAGAGGGAATTAAGGCCATCCTCCGAAGGTCTCAATAACTCTTCATCCTATAGAGAATATAGTTTGTGACTAGCATACACCATGGAAAAAGTATTAAAATTATACAAACAGGGGAAGAAGTGAAAGAACCAAACTTACCACAGTGCATGGTAATCCACAAACAAGAAACCTTTGGCACTTCTTCCTCACCCTGCATATCTACTTGGTTAAAAGAACAAAACAAAAAAACCCTGGTAAGTAGAATAGTGATGTCAAGTTAAACTAAAGTAGGAAAAGAATAACACCATCAAACACCACAATCAGTAAAGTCATATGGGGATTGGGGGATATTGATGTTATCATGAGCATTCTTTTGCTGGTTTGAGCAAGTATCTAACACCTCATTTTTTACTAAAGAATAATATAAGCACTAAATCAAGACAATGCAATTTGGAAACAATGAGATTTGTACAAATAAGGACATAACCTTTCAAAAAAATTTTAATTAAGGATGTGACCCTTACTCATTACTAGTTAAGGCTACCACCTTTCCAAAGTTTCTAATCAAGGATATGATCTTTTTGATTTACCAATCAAGGCTACTACCTTTCAAAATTTTCTAATCAAGGATATAATGATATACATCCAATTAATCCCTCTTTAGAAAAATCAAAAAGGTTATATCATTAATTAGAAAATTTTGAAAGGTGGTAGCCTTGATTAGTAAGAAAATAAGGTCATATCCTTAATTAGAAATTTTTGAAAAGTTATGTCCTTATTTGTATGAAATCTCAAAGAGCAGCATACCAGAATATAGATTGTCGTGAAAACCAGTGCTGTTGTTCTTGATGTGACACAAACATAGCTAAAAGTGTAGAGTTGTTTATTTAAAGGAATTGCTGCAACAAGAAAAAGGAAAATTAGAGTAGATAAATATAAAAACCATATCTTAGATAAAATCTTAGATAACAATGAACATAAGTTTTGACAGGTTCACTTTTCTCACCATGAATGAAATGTAGAATGAGTCCTAAAACAAGGAAAAAAAGTCCCATGATGACCCAATGCTTCAATCTATCAGAATGACCCTGGAAGTGCAAATTTATCAAGGAAATGAAGCTTAAAGCTTGAAATGTTGACTTTGAGCCAAGTAGCATAAAACTAACCTTCAAGTATATAAGCACATGCCCAAAATGTGCTCTAATAATTGTGGAAAGAAAGGAAGATATTGAACTGCAATCAACACATATTCATTCATTCATTATAATAACTGAATAAATATAAAGCATTAACATGGAGCTATTGCTCCTCCATGATGCATTTGAAGTGAAAATGATGCGGAAAAAAACCTTAGGATCCCTTCTAGTTCAAAGGGGGCATGACACCATGATGGAGCATCTTTTCTTAATGGACCCTAGTATGGGGAATTCTCAGTGCAGGCCTGCAGCACATCAAAGAGGATTAAAGGTTTCATATTGCTCACTTACAAATGTAGATGAGCTATAGATAGAATCACTACAAAACACACCTTAGATCTTCTCCATGCAGAATCTTGGTACATGTGATTGATTCCTAATACTGATATGTTTATTAGTACCATTGCATTACAAGGAGGATCGAGTTTTCCTCTCACTCTACAAGTTACCTAAATGCGGTTACAAAATTAGAGAGATCAATAGGTTATCCATTATAGCATAATACCTTTGAAGGTCACATTTGCAGAAAAGAATGAAATAATCACTAAATAATGTTAAATCTCACAAAAGACTGTTTCTTATTTTTATCATTACAACTATCACTGAACTGCTAAACAGTTTATAATGTTTTTATATGTTCAATAACCATAACCCTGATGGCACCAAAACTTTAATATCAAACAGATATATATAAAAACAAAGCATTGTCTATCATATAAGGAGAAGTTAAAGGATCTGCAGCATAATTTAAGGGCAAAGAGAGCTTACAGAGAAAACCTTCCCATAATCATCACTATCCTTGTTATGGATAGTGAAATGCCAATTAGGAACATATATTCCATACATAAAAGTAGAGTAAACAATAAGTGAAAATACACCCATTTCCTTGCAAATTGAGATACAGAAGGTTATTAATAAACATTATACTTATAGGATGCAATTTTGAGTCTTAAGACCAAGAAAAAGCCTATATGCACTGACCAATGCCGACAGTGACACTTGAATATAGAGAAGTGGCCATGTGAAAGAACCTTGCTTGCTCCATCTTTTAGAAAGATCTCCAAAATAGCCACCAACAAGTATGAGAAAGCTATTCTTTGCCAAGAGTAAATTGATCATTACTACATAGATTATGCCCTAAAAAAAAAAAAAAAGAACTAAATCATGCCATAAACACCAACAAAAAATAAATAAATAAACTTACTTGCAAAATTCCATCGAATCTTATCATTTTCATATCAACCCCATAAGTTAGTAATTCGTCAGGAGCATGAGAAAACCCCCCTTCACAACATAACTATGAAAAGTTAGGAGATTGATTCTATAAATAGTTAATTTTAATACATTTCATTGTGAAATTTCTAATATCGGTGAGAAAGAAAATGAAAGTAACCTTGTAACAAAAGGCCCAACAAGAAGAGCTTCAAAGTCCTAAAAATCACCTTCCTGAAAGCTTTGCGTCGTCTTGATACCCTCTACATGAAAAATTAACCATAATAATGGCAATAAAAAAATTAAAAAATTAACTTAAAACTCCATCTGAAGCAGAACCAGAATTGAATAATGAACATTTTCCCTATTATATATCATTCTCAAAAGGAAAATAAAACTTGGTAATGGGTATACTAATTAACTCTTCTTTCTACTTTTCATTTCATTTTTGTCATAGTGAAACCAACCTTAAGAGCAAGTGGAATAGCCATGCCGATGATGAAGTGGAATTACAAGGGTAAGCAAAAAGAGAATAAAAAATCATACCTAAAAACTTGCCCAAGGAAACAGAGATTTCAGCAATGGAATGACAAATTCTCTTCACCGTCGACACCTCCCAAGTAGCCATAACTTGCAAACCTCTTTCTCCTTTCTCTGTCAGCTTCCTCTCGAAATCCCCCTTTTCTCCCTATTAACAAACTATTTATAGGGGGTAAGAGGATGCCTTAAACCTATGTCTGATCTTACCCTCACAACCCTCTAATTTGCCTTCTTTGATCTCCATCGTCGGGTCGCACAAGCCAAAATTGACCTCCGACCATGGCTTTTTTCTATGGGTAAAGGAAAGTACAGGGAGCGGGATCAAACAAGAGCTTTGAGTCTTCTTCTGGTGGCCTTCCAGACGGCCAAACATCTAATTAAATTTTGGGTTTTTGAGTTCGAATGGCTTCAAATGAATTTTGGAGATTTGGGGAAGGAAGCTCGAAAATTAGAGAGGGAAAATGGGAAATCCAAGGAGGGAAGTAAAAATGAAGCTAGCGGCGAAGGAAAATAAAGCGTTTGAGAAATAGGGAATTATACAGACGGAACAGTAATCCGTCTATATCCATCTGTATAGATACATTTATATAAACGGATAATGATTTTTGTCAGAATAGATATACTCTATACAGATGGATAAATATAAATCGTTTGTATAAACCAACCTTATACGAATGGATATATTTTTTCGTTGGTATAGACTGATTTATATTGACTGCTTAAGTTTTTTGTTGATATACGTAGATCTATATAGACGGACTTCCATCCATTGGCATAGAGTTCCATTAGTATAGGTCATTTTGTTTGTAGTGATGGTTGATGGAAAGTTTGAACTATGCACTCTGAATTGACTTGCACCAAACCAGAAGTCCTTCTTCAGTCCGTATCTGCACTCTGAATTGACCTGCAAAGCCCCGAGGTGGATCCTCAGGGTAGACACTCCAATGCTTAAGTTAGCAATAATCGGGGCTACCTTTAGAACAGAGAAACAAGGAGCTTAGGGTTGGTTTTAATTACCTTTTGGCGTGGCCCTTAAGGGGTATTTATATGTTCCGATGAAGAATCCACGCGGCATGCCAAGCAAGATATCCAGGATCCGATGTGTATCTCCAGGCAGTTATTTCGGGACCGAGAGATTGAGCCAAGCAAGATATTCGGGATTTGATGTGTATCTCCAAGCAGTTATTTTGGGATCGAGAGATTGAGATATATTTATATGCAAGGATGTCCATCGTAACAGCTGTATAGCTATTTGAGCGGGAAGTCCTGGATTTACTCCTTATTCCGGTTATGAAGGAATTACTGTCATACGTCCGAGGTTGGGCACCTCGGACCTGCCCTTACAATGCTACAACTTGATCCTTCCTTTGTGAGGGTACGTAAGCAGCTTGATACCAAATTCCAAGTTCAGTCAAACCAAATAAAAAAAAAAAAA